TAAGCTAATTTTATTAATTAATAATAAGAATCAAATACGCTTAATTGAAACAATTTATGTTATGTTAGGTGCGAAATTGAGAAGGCTGTTTTTATCATTTTGATATTTGTGTTTTTTATCTATTTATGTACTTATTTTAGTCACTATACATGTTTAGATACTTTTGGAGTGATTATGTTCAATAATAAAAGTTCACCGTAGCTAGTTGCAGACTAGCTAAAAATTTTCTGCCTATGGAAAATTTTGCAAAAAAATTCTGTTAAATTTGCAAATTTTCAATATATTTTTAATTTTTTGAATTTATATTAAAATTTAACTTTATCAACTTAACTTTTGGAATGGAATCGTAAATACTGTATCCTTTAAACATATATTAAATAAAAGCTTACGTTATCTATTTAAAGTTAAAATAAAAAAAACTTTGCGAGGTCGTTGTAAAAGTTGTCATTTTGAATCCCCTGCTATGGCCTAGAAGGGATCATATTTATAAAAAAAACCCAGCACAGGAGGGTCGACTATCTTTGGATAGTGTTTACTTTAAAAACATTGCTGGATTATTCCAAAACCTATATGATCTGCTAATATCCTGATTAAGATAAAGTATGTCGAATGAAAAAGGAATATAAAAATTATTTCTCATANGATTAAGATAAAGTATGTCGAATGAAAAAGGAATATAAAAATTATTTCTCATAAAAAAATTGTGTTGATCCATACACTTTTCATTAAGTTATAGCATTATAAAGTTAAAAATGTAAAAAATAAAATCGAGAATTTTCGCACAAAAATAGTATTCCATTAGACATTTTCTCCACAAAAAAGTACATTACATTAACTTTAATTTAATATATAAATAAAAGTGTCAGACTTTCCGGAACACTTTCAAATGTTAAGGTGAAAAAGTTGTCATCTTAAATCCCCCCAGTGGGCAGGTTAAAGGTCAGATATATAAAAAAAATATACCAAATGATAGGTAAAGATATTAAGCATCTATAAAAAAAATATATATATTGATTTGTTCATTTTTGAAAAAGTTATGGCATTTTTAAGTAAAAAAAAATATCAAAAATTAGTGATTTTTAAATTTGTAATTATTTTGGAGGTTCGCCCATTTATGAGAAACGAGAGAAATTCTTCAATTTTTGAGGGTAATGTCTTCGACTGCATTCGATTCGTGATCTTTTGACGTATCGATGAAAGAAATCGGCTCGGTTAGAGCTGAGAAAAATTGGTAACAGACATACAAAAAAAACGCATTATAGTAATGTTAATTAGTTCTCAACTTCGCGTCAAAGCATACAAGTTTGAATAACACAATAAGTTAGTTTCTATTGGCATATGACTGCCATCATAAAAATATGTTATTATATTGTTTAAATAATTAAAATTACCGATTTTATATTTTCATTTATTAAATTAAACTATATACAAAAGTCTACAAACAGCAATTTTATTATAATACCACAAATGTTATATAATTATATTAGTCTTATTATTTCTAAAAGTAGAACAGAATAATTACGTGTCTTTTAATATTTCATCGAATTATATTTTGTTAAAAAATTTCAACGATAAATATTAATAATCATTTTCAAAATGTTTTCATTAAAGTTAAATTTTTTATTACTATATGTGTGTTTATGTACAAAAGCATATACGTCTTCAAAAAAATCAATGGATCAATTAGATAAGTTACTAAAATATCCGGGATGGAAAGATTTAAATGAAGTAAGCTCTATAACATATCTTACAAAAATATATTATCTTGAAAATCTGATTGAAATACCTACAGATCGAAATATAGGTGAGCCAAAGATACGAGCCTTGACAGTATTTCTAAGTTGCACATACGCAAAAGTTATAAATAATATTTTTTCAATTATTGTCAACTGGGATGAAATTTGTAAAAATCAAAATGAAGAAGACAACGACTTAATAAATGGATGCATTTATACTAAAGAACTCATAAACATAATAGCCAAATTAATTGTTCCAATAGCAACATTGATGAAAGGTGCAATGGATGCTTTAGATTTATTACATCATTTACTATTTGCCAATTTTAAAATACATGATAAAAATGCCTACATAATAAGTTATTTATTAGATAGAATAGAAAATATTTTTGGCAAATTGCTTGATCCGAGTCTATCATGTGATAGTTCTACAAACTCTTGGACATTTGAAATTGTTTATACATTCTTTAAAAGAATAATACAACTTTTACAATTTGCTACTGGTAAATATTGTGAATTTGTACCTTACAATACAAATTATTTATGGAATGAATGGGTTCAAGAATATAGAGCCATTAACCAGAAAGTAAAATTAATATTTTTTAAATTCTTAACTAGGAAAATTAAAAATTATATCAAGACAGTAATTGTCGAAAAGTATTTTCAACTGGGATTTAAATTTGATCCAATTACTGAAGAAACGTTTATACAAACACAAGAGGAATTCATTGAACTAGGTATTTAAAATAAAAAAATATTAATTACAATTTTTATTAAAAGTTTTATAATTTTTTTATGAATCTAGAATTAGAATTTAGAACAACAGACGAAGAACCTCCAACGCCAGTATAAATAATGTTAATAAATAATTAATTTTGTTTTTAATTTATATTTCATAATTAATTACATTTTTAGTATTACTTAGTAAATATTTTAATGATTACTAAAACATAGACATTAATAGTGAATTACACAATTATTTATTGGTTAAACACATGGAATTTTAATACATTATTGATATTAACAATTATAAAAATTTAATATAAAAGTGTTCTTCAAAATAGTTATTAATAGACTGGATTTTATTATTGAATCATTATTTAATAAATAAATGAGTTAATAATTAACTAATAATTACATGTATAATTATTATACATGTATGCATTTAAAAAGACCGATATTTTTATTAAATTTTGTTGCTTGTGTATATACAGAGTGGAACGGATCTAACTGACAACTCTTATAACTTATGATCTACATAACATTTTATACTTTTTATTTTTTCAATTAATTTTTACAATATAGAACTATATTTCAAATATGTTCTATGTTATTTTTCGCAATTACAAAAAATATTTTAAAAATTAATTTTTTTATTAAAATTTTTTTTAAGATTTTAAGAAAGCTTTTTTATAAATAAGTTTTAAATAAAAAATTTTGATACCAAAAACTCTTATTTTAATTCAGTAGTTACGTTTATACAGCATTTTATGTTAGAAAAATTTCATTTTCATAAATGAAGTTTTTCAAACATAAATAAAAATCAATAGTTTGACATTAAATATTAGTATACAAAAATTGATGCATAAAAACCGGTTACTCAATAATAATGATATAAAATAGTGATTGCTTTACACTTTTCTCTGTGGATAGGAGTTAAGAATACTTTCACAGCCCCTTTGACAGTCGTAAGAGGGTATGAGGTTGCGTCAGGTCGACAGCCGGCGTAAAAGTTTTTGTCAAATAGTATTAGGTGCCCTGAACAAAACTTAGGCGAACTGTCCCATCTCGGATGTACGCGGGAACAACAGAAAGTAGTTAAAAATGGTGAAGGTCTAAAGAATAAAGTGTTTGATACCAGCCGGAGAACTTGTGCGGTAGCTGTTTTACCAGTTATGTGTACAGGTCTACCCAACGCTTGTAGAAGAATGAGGCTGGAGAAAGAATCCTGGATTTCGCAGTATCGTATGATCTTGCTATGGTTAATACTTATTTTAGAAATAGGGAAGAACATTATATAACTTATAAGAGTGGGAGGAATAGATCACAGATTGATTATTATATGTGGAAGAGAGAGAGCATAAAGCGAGTAAAGGATTGTAAAGTTATACAAGGTAAGAGTTTAACTACACAGCATGTCATGTTTAACTACACNAATGGTAATGGATTTTTGGTGTACCGGGAAAAGAATATACAAAAACAGAAGGATCACGGTAGAAAAATAGAAAATCCGTTGGTAGAAATTCAAAGGGGAAAATGAAAAAGAGTTTGTCAAGACGGTAATAGAGAGGACAGTGTGGAATGTCGAGGGAGACATAAATAATGTGTGGAATAGATTTGCTAGTTGTGTAAAGAATACTACTTAGAAGATTGTTGGTGAGAGTAGGAATAGAATGCCAGGATACTAGGAAACCTGGTGGTGGATTTTATCCATTCTATTAATAACTATTTTGAAGAACACTTTTATATTAAATTTTTATAATTGTTAATATCAATAATGTATTAAAATTCCATGTGTTTAACCAATAAATAATTGTGTAATTCACTATTAATGTCTATGTTTTAGTAATCATTAAAATATTTACTAAATAATACTAAAAATGTAATTAATTATGAAATATAAATTAAAAACAAAATTAATTATTTATTAATATGATTTATACTGGCGTTGGAGGTTCTTCGTCTGTTGTTCTAAATTCCAATTCTAGATTCAAGAAAAATATATAAGACTATAAATTATATTTTAATTAATATTTATNTAAATTCCAATTCTAGATTCAATAAAAATATATAAGACTATAAATTATATTTTAATTAATATTTATTATTTTAAATACCTATATCAAATTGTTCCTCCGGTGTTGGTAAAAACGTTTCTTCAGTAATTGGATCAAATTTAAATCCCACTTGAAAATATTTTTCTAAAATTTCTTTCTTGATATAAATTTCAAATTTTTTGGTTAAGAATTTAAAAAATTTTAACTTTACTCCCTGTTTAATGCCTCTATATTCTTCAACCCATTCAGTCCATAAATAATTTGTATCGTAAGGTACAAATTCACAATATTTATCAGTAGCAAGTTGTAAAAGTTCTATTATTCTTTTAAAAAATGTATATGCAATTTCAAATGACCAAGAGTTTGTAGATCTATCATCACATGATAGACTCGGATCATTAAATTTACCAAAAATATTTTCTATTCTATCTAATAAATATTTTATTATGTAGGCCTTTTTGTTATGTATTTTAAAATTAGCCAATGGTAAATGATGTAATGAATCTAAAGCATCCATTGCACCTTTCATCAATGTTGCTATTGGAACAATTAATTTAGCTATTATGTTTATGAATTCTTTAGTGTAAATGCATTCATTTGTTAAGTTGTTGTCTTTTTCATTTTGATTTTTACAAATTTCATCCCAGTTGACAATAATTGAAAAAATATTATTTATAACTTTTGCGTATGTGCAGCCTAGAAATACTGTCAATAATCGTATTTTTAAATCACCATTTTGAATAGTTATAGGTGTTTCAATCTGACTATTAAGATTATAACTTTTATTATAATATTTTATAGAGCTTACGTCATTTAAATTTTTCCATCCTGAATATTTTAGTAATTTTTCTAGTTTATTAATTTTTTTTTTTGTAGTATTATATGCTTTTGAATATAAAAACACATAAAATAATAAACAACTAAAATACACTAGTTTTAATGAAAACATTTTGAAAATGATTATTATTATTTATCGTTGATTTTTTTGAACAGAAAATAATTCGACAAAGTGTCAAAAGACACGTATTTAATCTTTTCTACATTTAGAAATAATAAAACTAAAAATAATGACATATGTATAGAGGATAGTATAATAATTTTTTATAAATAGAACTGTTGCCTCGAATACTTTTCATGTGCCAAAGTGTCAAAAGACACGTATTCATTCTGTTTAATACCACTTTAAAAATAATAAGACTAACATTTATTACATAACATCTGTGGTATTATAATAATTTTATTTAAATAGATTTGTTACCTCCTAGACTTTTAGTGAGTTACCCAAAAAATTTCTGTCCTGCTTAATAAAATAAATTAAAAGTGACTTAGGGTGAGTAATATAATAAATAAATATATTTGATATCTATGGAGTATATTTTAAATTTAAACTTTAGAAAATTTTACTTCAGTTCCATTTCTTATATCGTTGAGCATATATTGGTGTTGGAATATCTGTTCTTCTGATATGTGTACGATCAAACATAAAAAAAAAAAATTATATATAAATAAATATAAAATAAATAGTACGTATACAGAGGAACTGCACAGTGATTCTAAATCTATTAGAAGTGTATCTATATTCTTATCACATAATAGAACAGGGAAAATAACGCTTTTCTAGGAAAATTACTTAGCGTTCTCGGATTTTCAAATTTTTTTTTTCAACGAAAGTGTTCAGTCACGTGACTCGGGAAAAATTATTGGCGGAGGTCGGAAAATTTTTGACGCTCGCTCGCTTGCGTTTTAAAATTTCGACCATTTTCGAGAAAAACGCTCGCTGACACCAGCGTTTTACGACTAAGATTTGAAAATTCCACCGGAAAATAAAAATGAAAAAAAATAACGCCATTTAAAATGCATGCAATTATAATTAACTTACTTCTTTATGATATAATGATTAAATAATTAAATCAAACATTATTATGAGGTGTAATTAAGTGTAGAATAATTATTATGAAAAATACTTAAAAAAAAACATAGAACAGGGGGGTCGCAGCACAGTGGTGACGTAGCATAGATGGTTCAAGTATAATGATATCTGACAGTGATTAAAATCACTATAAAAAAAAAAACGCTTCGTTGCAAATCTTAAGATAGTGTTTAATTTTTAAATATTGTTGGATTATTCCAAAAGCCACATGAACTACTACTTTCTTATTAATATCCTAATTATGATAAAGTATGTCGAATGAAAAAGGGATAAAAATATTATTTGTCATAAAAAAATTGTGTTGATCCATATACTTTTCAATAAGTTCTAGCATTATAAAGTTAAAAATGAAAAAATAAAATCGAGAATTTTCACACAAAAATAGCACTTGATATCCATTTTTACCGTAAAGACAAAATAAAGTCCCACATTTTTTTTTTTCATAATAAGTGTTAATTTAATTTAAATTTTAGTTTTAATTAATTAGTTAGTTTTAATTTAAGATATAAATTTAAGATAATAAATAAAAGTGTCAGACTTTACGGAACACTTTCAATTGTTAAGTTGAAAAAGTAAATTTTTTGTGAAAAATTTGTCATTTTAAATCACCTCCTGTAGGCAGTTTTATAAAAAAAATTTACCAAATTATATTGATTTATTCGTTTTTAAGAAAGTTATGGCAGTTTTAAGTATAAAAAATTGAACAAATTTCGAAAAATAGCGATTTTAAAATCTGTAAAATCTTTTTTCAAGGTTTCCCTCATTTACGGGAAAATTTTTTCAATTTTTGAAGGTAATGTCTTCGACTAGATACGAATTGTGATCTTTTGACGTATCATTGAAAGAAATCGGTTCGATGATAGCTAAGAAAAAGTGGGTAACAGATGCAAAAAAAACACATCTTAGTAAAACCAATACCTTCTCATCGAAGCTAAAATATTAAGTAAAATATTTATTTATAGTTTTATCATTTTTTTATGAATCTAGATTTGGAATTTAAAGCAATAGAGGAAGAACCTCCAACGGCTGTGCAAATATAAATTCATTAAATATTGTTACTAAATTTAATATAAAATTGATAATTAATAATTTGTTATTTGCATTTAAATATTAAAGTTCTAAAAACCGTTTAAAGTTACATTAAAAAATTCTATACTCAAATTTCAAAAAAATGTTATTTGCATCAAAAGTTATAAACATTATCAATCAGACGTATCTAACGCTTGTTACTTTGTATAAATGGTTCACTGAAAAAAAAAAGTACTTATTTATATTGAAAAAAAAAACAAAATAAACTTTCTTTCCTACATTTTGAACAGTCTGTAACTGGTTTTCTGATAAAATTAAAAAATATGATTAAGTTTGCAAATTAACGATACGAATTACGTATTGATAAGTTACCGCGACAACTTGATTAACCACAACGCTATATATGCTTGTTCTAATACGACAATATATACACATTATGTCTTATTGAATTATACAGTTTTATTTATTTATGAAAACTTTAAGGGGAAATATATGTTTAAAAAATTGAGGGACCAATGATATAATTTATAACTTTATTTCACTTCAAAATATGTTTTATATGAGAATATATAATTTTGTATGGCTAATAGAAAATTTGGTAAGAACAAAACCCCCTCTCATCTAGTACCGCCGGTAAGCGAATCTGTTTTAAAAAAAATAATTGTACTTTGTATTAACTTAAATAAAATTAAAATAGGAAAATTAAAATATATTATCATTTTTCCGACTTAATATATAATTAGATTTTGATAATTATACATTTTGATAATATATTTTGTAGCCAACATTTTACCCTAAAAGTTTTTTTTGTTACTAGGCTTCGCCTAGCTGGGGCTCCGACTTAGGCCTCACGTTGAATTTGTTAATTTTCACCAAATTTTTATAATTTTGACTTTATATTAGTATAAAAATATAATTTATCTGCTTAACTTTGAATTTTAACATTAATTTTTAAAATGTTATTGCAATTTTAAAAATAATAAGTTTAATAAAAATTGAAATTTCCAGATTTTAAAAATCGTAATTTTATGGGGTTTTCTTCCATTTACAGAGAACTAGGGAAAGAATTTTTAATTTTAATGACAATTTTTTTAATTAAATACAGTTTTGTATTTGACGTAATGAATGAATGTTGAATGAAGTCGATTCGGTAAAAACTGAAATAAAGTGGTGACAGACATAAAAAAAAAAATGCATCATAGTAATATTAATTCCTTTTCAGATACACATCAAAGTATAAAAGTTATCCCAATGAGTTATTTTCTATGCGCAAATGATTGTAATTCTAAAAATATTATATTGTAGTGGTTACTTTAATAAAATTAGCGGCTTTATTTTATATAATTTCAACCTTATATCATTTTATTACATTAAAAAACTAAAATTGTGAATTGTAATTTATTTAACTAAGCTATACGAAAAGTCTACAAGACAACAATGTTATTAAAATACTACAAATGTCTAATGATAAATATTATTCTTATTATTTCTAATATTAGAACACAATAAATACGTGTCAACTGACGTTCAATTATATTCTATAAACAATTTTAACGATAAATATTAATAACCATTTTCAAAATGATTTCATTAAAACTTTTGAAGATTATTTTTTTATTATTTTATGTGATTTTATATATAAAAGCAGAATATACTTCGAAAAAAAAAATTGGTCAATTAGATAAGTTATTTAAGTATCCGGGATGGAAAAAATTAAATGACGTAAGCTCTATAAAATATTCTAATAAATTATATTTTGTTAAAAATCTGATTGAAACACCTACCACTTTTATAAAATGTGAGCAAAAGATACGAGCCTTGACTGTATATCTTGGTTGCACATATGCAAAAGTTATAAATAATATTTTTTCAATTATTATCCACTGGCAACAAATTTGTGAAAAAGAAAAAGAAAATGAAGATGAAATGATTTTGAAAAATATATGTATTTATACCGAAGAACTCATAAACACAATAGCTATATTTATTGATCCATTAGCAACAATGTTAAAAGGCGCAATGGACGCTTTAGATTCATTGCATCATTTACCATGGGTTAAATTTAAAAAGTATCACCAGAAGCACTACATGATGAGTCCTTTGTTGGAAAGAATAGGAAATATTTTTGACAAATTGAATAATCCGAGCCTATCATGTTATGGTAGATGTACAAAATCTTCGAAATTTGAAATCATAGATTCATTTTCTAATAAAATAATTGCAGATTTAAAATTTGAAACTTACACATTTTGTGAATTTGTACCTTACGATGAGAATTATTTATGGAATCAATGTGTTCAAGAATATAGAGCTATTAATAACCAGGGAGTAAAACTAATATTTTTTAAATTCTTAACTAGGAAAATTAAAAATTATATCAAGACAGTAATTGTCGAAAAGTATTTTCAACTGGGATTTAAATTTGATCCAATTACTGAAGAAACGTTTATACAAACACAAGAGGAATTCATTGAACTAGGTATTTAAAATAAAAAAATATTAATTACAATTTTTATTAAAAGTTTTATAATTTTTTTATGAATCTAGAATTAGAATTTAGAACAACAGACGAAGAACCTCCAACGCCAGTATAAATAATGTTAATAAATAATTAATTTTGTTTTTAATTTATATTTCATAATTAATTACATTTTTAGTATTACTTAGTAAATATTTTAATGATTACTAAAACATAGACATTAATAGTGAATTACACAATTATTTATTGGTTAAACACATGGAATTTTAATACATTATTGATATTAACAATTATAAAAATTTAATATAAAAGTGTTCTTCAAAATAGTTATTAATAGACTGGATTTTATTATTGAATCATTATTTAATAAATAAATGAGTTAATAATTAACTAATAATTACATGTATAATTATTATACATGTATGCATTTAAAAAGACCGATATTTTTATTAAATTTTGTTGCTTGTGTATATACAGAGTGGAACGGATCTAACTGACAACTCTTATAACTTATGATCTACATAACATTTTATACTTTTTATTTTTTCAATTAATTTTTACAATATAGAACTATATTTCAAATATGTTCTATGTTATTTTTCGCAATTACAAAAAATATTTTAAAAATTAATTTTTTTATTAAAATTTTTTTTAAGATTTTAAGAAAGCTTTTTTATAAATAAGTTTTAAATAAAAAATTTTGATACCAAAAACTCTTATTTTAATTCAGTAGTTACGTTTATACAGCATTTTATGTTAGAAAAATTTCATTTTCATAAATGAAGTTTTTCAAACATAAATAAAAATCAATAGTTTGACATTAAATATTAGTATACAAAAATTGATGCATAAAAACCGGTTACTCAATAATAATGATATAAAATAGTGATTGCTTTACACTTTTCTCTGTGGATAGGAGTTAAGAATACTTTCACAGCCCCTTTGACAGTCGTAAGAGGGTATGAGGTTGCGTCAGGTCGACAGCCGGCGTAAAAGTTTTTGTCAAATAGTATTAGGTGCCCTGAACAAAACTTAGGCGAACTGTCCCATCTCGGATGTACGCGGGAACAACAGAAAGTAGTTAAAAATGGTGAAGGTCTAAAGAATAAAGTGTTTGATACCAGCCGGAGAACTTGTGCGGTAGCTGTTTTACCAGTTATGTGTACAGGTCTACCCAACGCTTGTAGAAGAATGAGGCTGGAGAAAGAATCCTGGATTTCGCAGTATCGTATGATCTTGCTATGGTTAATACTTATTTTAGAAATAGGGAAGAACATTATATAACTTATAAGAGTGGGAGGAATAGATCACAGATTGATTATTATATGTGGAAGAGAGAGAGCATAAAGCGAGTAAAGGATTGTAAAGTTATACAAGGTAAGAGTTTAACTACACAGCATAGACTAATGGTAATGGATTTTTGGTGTACCGGGAAAAGAATATACAAAAACAGAAGGATCACGGTAGAAAAATAGAAAATCCGTTGGTAGAAATTCAAAGGGGAAAATGAAAAAGAGTTTGTCAAGACGGTAATAGAGAGGACAGTGTGGAATGTCGAGGGAGACATAAATAATGTGTGGAATAGATTTGCTAGTTGTGTAAAGAATACTACTTAGAAGATTGTTGGTGAGAGTAGGAATAGAATGCCAGGATACTAGGAAACCTGGTGGTGGGATGAGGACGTTCAAAAAATCATAGAAAGTAAGAAAAAGCAATTCAAAGTATGGCAGAAGAGCAAAGGGAGAGAAGATTGGTTGGAGTATAAACGCTTGTGCAAAGAGGTCAAGTGTGCAGTAAGTAAGGCGAAGTTAAAGAGGTATGATGAGTGGTATGATAGGCTAGGAACAAAAAAAGCGAGAAAGAAATCTAAAGACTTACAAAATTAAAGGAGAAAAGGTCTAAAAATTATCATTATATAAGGTGTATAAAAAGTGCTGATAATAGGGTACTCTCGAGTGATGATGACGTGAAAAAAAGGTGGAAAGAGTATTTTGAACACTATCTTTTAAAGGACTGCAATTTATTTAATTAATATAAAACAGCAATTTTGAAACTAGCTAATAAATAAGTATTACAACTACATAAAGTACTTATATTTATCTATATATTTTTTAAGAAGTTATACAATATAAGGTTAAAAATATAAAATGGTTCAATGAAAGCGCTTCTTAGCAAAAACACTAAGTAACATATATGGTTGTCATTTTATTTTTTAACAATCACAATTACTTTTAAGACACTTTTTGTTTTTTTATATTTTTGATTTCTCAGACAAAAACAGTATGTCTTAACACAACTAAGATATTCTTTAACCATAATAATGAGCTTTTTAACTATCCACAATTTTTAAACTAGCAAATATATTACTATGTTTTTACTTATATAAAGTAATTATAAGTATATAATATTGATCCGTAAAAAGTCGGGAATTTTAATATTAAAATATAATAATTTTATCTACGGAAGTCATATGTGTTTAGAAAATAACTTTTTGGTATAACTATTTAGCTTCGACGCAAAGTTTAGAATGTATTAAATTTATTTTGATGCGGGTTTTTTTATGTCTGCCATAATCAAGCTAAATCTTTTACCCGACCGATTTTATTCAATGATATGTCAAAAGTTCACAAATCGTACTTAGTTGAAGACATTGCCCTTGAAACCCCTTCTAAAAGTTTTGATTTAAAAAAATGTTAATTTCGATTTTATTAATCTTTTTATTTTTAAAATTGCCATAACATTTTAAAATAGAAGGAAATCTAAAAATTTATTTTTATATAAATACCTTAGATATTTTCCTCTTATTCGAATTACATTTTTTGAAATCTGATTTTTTAACTTCCCACGGGTGAGCATTCAAAATAGCAAATTGTTTACAAAAAAAAACTAGATTTTTTAACATAAATTCAGAAAATAATATATGTATTATCCCGACGACTTATCTTTTAATGGCTGCCGTAGTTAAAGAAAAGAAATTTTTGTGTTAATACTTTCTATTTTTTTTTATTTTTTCAAATTTCTTTGAATTAAATTTTAAAAATGAATGTGTTAATGTAATTTATTTTTTATTAATACTTTATGAATACCCTTTTCATCAAATTTTTTTAAAATACTACATTATTAATATCAATTTTATATAAAGTTTAGTTTCTATAAAAAATATTTATTCGTGTAATATATCTATAAAACCTAAAACTTGTATATTTTTCTTTCTGAATAATACAAATATTCCTACTGGAAATTTAAAAGTATCGATAGATTTGTATCGAAGTATTATTTATGATAGGTATTTCAATCATTATGAGATATTGTCTCTATTTTTACCCGCTGATCCGTGACCCCTTTGTTTTAGAATTTTTTATTATATCTAATTAATATAAAAAAAATTATACATTTACTAGGCTTTGCTTAGCTTTGTCTCATACCTGGTGCCATATGTGCCTTTTTTTTTTACATTTTTTGGCCATCACAATATTTTAACAATATTTTAATTTTAACACTATCTTTGGTATCATCAATATTAATAAAATTGTGTTCTGAAGTTAAAGGTAATAGGTTAAAATGAATACTATAATAAAGAATTTCAAATAAAAGACCATACATTTAAATTTATATTAAAATCTAATACATCAATACAAATTTTCATTAACATTTAATGTAAAAACTGTAGAAAAATGTCCTACTATAAAGAAGAGATTATTGGTATGGTTAGCATACTATAATAATAAAAAATTTGTTCCAAAAAAAAAAAAAAGAAGAAAGGAGTAAAAAGAGTTATTAATGAAAATAATAATAAATAAACTTTTTGTAATACAATAATTTTTATTAGATACATGAAATAATAAAAAAATTACTTCATAATATGACTCAAATATAAAATATTTAGGTATACTCATAAAATATCTTTATATACCGTGTTATTAGAACACTTGGATAATTGCCTAAAATTTAAACAATAATATTTCATGCACAAAACAAAATAATATCCAATTAAAAACTATTTGCATGGAAATTCTTTGGGTAAAAATTTCAGAATTTAAATAAAAAAACTCTAGCGGCAATGAACGTTTTAGAAAAAAATATTAAACGCTCACGGTGTGCTAAAGAAAATTTTTTCATCTTTGCGAATAAATTTCTAAGAAAAACATCAACTAGTTCTTTCATTAAAAAAAAATTAAAATCCTACGTCAATAAGTATTTTTTCCAGCACATACATATAAACAAAACGGTAGTACAGTGGGGTCACACAAAAAGCGTGGGCGCTTTGTGCCATATTTTTCGTATATTGAGCACCCGACGCTTTTATCACAATAATACTAGTATTTTTTGTTCATAATTATTTTAAGCTTATTTTAAAAATTATTTTTAACTTTATAGTTCGATATGCTTTAAAAGCATGTTTTTTTTAAACTATATTTATTCTTTAACTTTGATATCCGTTTTCACAATAAAGACAAGTCAAAAGGTCAAATTTTTTTTCAAAATAAAGTATATTATTTAAGTTTTAATTTAAGGTATATATAAAAGTGACCTATTTCCGGAACATTTTCAAAAGTTAAGTTGAAAAAGTTATTTTTTTGTGAAAAAGTTACCATTTTGAAACCTTTTATGTAGGCAAGTAATGGGTTAAATATTCGTAAAAAAATATCAAATGATAGGTAATATCTAAGGTATCTATATCAAAAAAAATATTATGGCAATTTTAAATGAAAAAAAATTGAAAAAATGTCGAAAATTAGCAATTTTGTAATTTGTAATTTTTTGGGGGATTTCCCCCTTTTACGGGGAACGAGGGAATTTTTTTAATTTTTGAGGATTATATCTTCGACTACATACGATTTTTGATCTTTTGACGTAATGTTCATCAAATTTGGTCAAGCGAGAGCTGGGATTGAGCGTTCACAGACACACACAAAAAAAAATAATATAAAAAAATAAAAAAAAACACATCATATTGAAATTAATACCTTCTCAGCTTCGCATCGAAGCTAAATTGTGTAACGCATAAAGGATGTGGTACATTTAATTTAACGACACTGTAGAACCAAACAAGGCGTAGGTTAAATGTTTTAAAGTCTGTCCACGTTTATTACATGTGGCGTTTAAGAAATTAAATAACAATAACGAGACATCATAAAAAAATTAGTGTAAAACAATCTTCTTTTTCTTCTTCTTCCTGGCCTTACTCCAAACTACTTGGGGTCGGCCACCCATATTCTAAACTTCCATTTGACTTGATTTCCTACAACATCTACACTCACATTAGCCATCCTCATATTGAATTCAATAACATCTCTCTCTCTCTTTTTTGGTCTTCCTATACCTCTTCTTCTTTCAAAATTAATTTTGATAACTGTTCTTCCGATAGCGATACCAAATAATCTAAGTTTATTTTTTTTCATCTTATTCACATTTGACGCTACACCTATACTCCCTCTTATATGCTCGTTCCTTATTCTATCTTTTCTGGTCACTTCACTCATCCATCTAAGCATTCTCATCTCTGCTAAACTCATTCTCTACTCTACTTTCTTATCAACCGCCCAACACTTAGAACCATACATCATAGCTGGTATCACTATAGTCTTGTAGAATTTACCTTTCAGCCTCATTGGAATTCTTTCTCCAGACTCATTCTTCTACAACCGTTGGGTAGACCTGTACCCATGACTACTGAAACAGCTAACGTACAAGTTGACCGGCTGGTATCAAACACTTTATTCCTTAGGCCTTCTCAATTTTTAACTACTTTCTATTGTCCCCATGTACTTCGAAGATGGGAACATTCGTCTAAGTTTTGTTTAGGATACCTCATACTATTTGAAAAAAATTTTTACGCTGGTTGTCGACCTGACGCAACCTCATTAGTCGCCTCTTACGACTGTCAGAGGGACCGTGGAAGTATTCTTATCCCCTACCGCCCTGGAACTACCGCGAGGTATTGCTTCAGGGCGGACCACGCCGTCTATAATTCACACCACCACATTGTGAATCAGCCCGAAATTAATCAAGAGCTGATTCACAACGTGGTATGTCCTCTCCCGTTAGCCGGATCCCAAAAGGCGGGATCCGTTGCCCGGGCTACACCACATGGAGGTGGAAGCAGGACTTCGCGAGGGTTGGCTTAAATAAATAATTCACAAAACACAAATCACATAAAAAGAGTGAGGAGGGCAAGAGATACTTTATGAAGGCTTCTCCGGCCCTCCCACCTTCTTGGGACAGTCCCTTGACCGGTGGCCCTCCCTTTGCACGTGAAGCACGCGCCGGTCCGGAACGCTACAGGCCGTTTGCACGTGACCCCTTCGAGGCACCTGTAGCAGCGCGGACCCTTGTCCTTTGTGACCCAGATCCGGCACGTGTTCCAACCCACCCTGAGTTGGGTCAGTACGACCAGTGGTTGCGAGGCCCTGATAGGAACCTCGCACCACGCGAAGCGGCCCTTGCCGCTCCCGTGAAGTTGTACTGACACCAAACCGACGGGTGCCGTCACTCTATCTTTTGAGAGGATAGTGGTCAACGCCCCTACGACGTCCTCTTCCACTATCCACATCCAACAGCATGAACGCCACAGACATCGCTGGGCGATGTACGCGGACGTCCATGTCGTCCAGGGTCTCTCTGACCTTGGCGGCCAGCAGGTCAGCCTGGGCCCCTGTGCCCCAAACCTCCAGGAGCACTGCTCCTGACTTGGTCCTGCGGGTACCGATGACCACGACGCCCAGCGCCTGAAGGTCAATATTCGCCATGATCCTTTTTATGATGGCCGAATATTGTTAGCCTTCTTTAAGAGGACCAATAATAATGGCCTCCGTTTGCCTTAATTACGGGCCGCGTAATAGCAGGAAGCCCAGGGTTCGGATGGGGGTTCGCCATCGTGTTAGGCGTCTTCCGCCGCCTAACCATCTCAGACCAAGCAGCCGGCGGCGGAGCCACAGGTGCTGTCGCAGTCTGGGGCGGAGGACGCGGCAGAGACGCTGAGTCTATCGTAGCGGGTTTCCCTTCCTCATTGCGGTTCTTCAACCTCTTCTTCCTGCGACTTTTTCTAACCCGTTTGACCACCTCAGCGGTGGCTGACGGAACGATGTGTGGCGCACTCACACACGGTGTAGCTAGCACGCCGACGGGCTCCATGTTCAGATCGTCGACGCTAACCGTGTGATCGGTTTGCGTAGCCTTTTCCGTAACCGTTTTCGGATCGCTCCTTCCGGCGCCCGTGGATCAACCCCATTTCCGATGAGGCTACCTGAGGGATCCTGGGTCGCAGAGACGCTCTCCTGCGTTTTTCCTCATCCAGGATCTCCTCTAACCGCTTCGTGGCCGTTTGCACTTCTTGGTGCACGCCCATTCCTCGGCGTTAGTCGATAACTCCTCGAAGCACCGACACTTGCTCGCCTACCCTTTCGACCATGGCCGACGTGGCAGTCGCCTCATCTGCCGGGTCATGCCATCTCTTCCGGCAAGGCTGCACAGAGCTCCTCAACTCAGTGAGGGCCTGGCATGAGAGGGATATCTGCTGAATGAGATACTTCAGGTGGGTACCTGGGACCTCATTCATCAGACTCCCCTCAACATCCGCCGTTTTTGCAAGGGCAACAATATGGTTGATGCCGACGTCGATGTGGCCTCGAATNACCTCATTCATCAGACTCCCCTCAACATCCGCCGTTTTTGCAAGGGCAACAATATGGTTGATGCCGACGTCGATGTGGCCTCGTCGTCACTTTCGTATTCTTCCCCCAGAGGCGCCCTCCTTTTACCAGGATAATGCAATGGGGGAAAATTCTCCGGCAATGGGCTTAGCACCGGTGAGTCTGTCCGGTGGTGGGTCGATGTGCCTTCTCCAAAAGACGGCTCCGCCCTTCCACCACCTGGTCGGTCGCCCGTCCTCATCTCCTCGTCCTCGTCTTCCAACGCAGCAGCATCGGGAGACGACGATTTCTGTTTCTTGTGCGCCTCACTATCAAGGCGTTCCGTGTAGACCATGAAGTCCACGGCTTGTCGAATCCCACGCCCCATGCTTCTCAACACCCCGCTGTCACTGCAGTGGGATAATAGCTCCGAGGAAATGAGCCGAGCTACGCCTATGAGGTGTACCGCTGCGGCTTCCCCTCGGCGGCTAGAGATGCATTCGTCAATGACTTCAGCCCTCTGGCGGAGATCATCGATACCCTCTAGAGGGTCATACTCCTTGGCCCTTTCTGGAGCAAATGGACGCCCGTCGTCCAGGTCCCTCTGCATCATCCCTATTACAGTGTTCGTGTCGACGTTTCGTAGCCCGTAGAGCCCGATCACGCCGACACTGTAACACAGCGAAACGATACCACGTAACCCTAACGACAACAAAACGATATTTAAATATCCCAATTTTATATCGTAGTATTATCAGGACACAGTTATTTTGCACTAGGAATCTTAAAAATTGTTTTGCCCTATCATTATAAATTTAGTAAAATTTTAGTTTTAATAACAGAACTTAAGTATAGTTTACATAATTCTTTAGTGTCACGTGCGTAGGTTCGATTTAAACTGTCAAGCTGTACAGATTCCAGTCCTATCTAATTCAATAATTAAATTACTAAGTTTTGAGAAATTTAAACAAAAAATATAAAATTATTTAAATTTAGATTAGAATAAAATAATTACAGATCATTCTAGGTAACATTTTTAAATAGCAATAAAATATTTAAATGAGGGTATTATCGGTATTATATAAAAAAATTTACCACATACCTAAAATATTAAATTTATTACTTTATTATCTTAAACACCTTTAGTTCTCATTTTTCGTTTATTTTATGAGTCGCATGAAATTTTTTTGGTTCATCACGAATAGACTAGGTGACAAAAATTCTATTTAAAGAAAATTATTATAATACAACAGATGTTATATCGAAAATGTTAGTATTAATATTTTTATAACACTAATAAACAAAATACGTGTCTTTTGACTCTTTGTCGAGTTATGTTTTGTAAAAAAAAAATTTAAACATAAATATTAAAAATCAATTTCAAAATGTTTTCATTAAAACTAGTCAATTTTGGTTTATTATTATTTTATGTAATTTTATACTCAACAGCATTTTCAACTCCAAAAAAAATAACAGACCAACTGGATAAATTACTAAAATATCCGGGATGGAGAAATTTAAATGATATAAGCTCTATAAAATATAATAGAAAAACCTATTATCTCTATAGTCTGATTGAAATACCTACATCTGTTCATAAAGGTGAGTCAAAAATACGAGCTTTGACAGTATTTCTGGGATGCAAATATGCAAANTTCATAAAGGTGAGTCAAAAATACGAGCTTTGACAGTATTTCTGGGGTGCAAATATGCAAAAGTTATGCATATTATTTTTTCAACTATTATTAAATGGGAAGAAATTTATAAAAACCAAAGTAAAGAAGACAATGACTTAATAAGTGAATGTAATTATACTAAAGAACTCATAAACATATTAGACATATTAATTGTTCCAATAGCAACATTGATGAATGGCGCCCTGAAAACTTTAGATTCATTACATCATTTACCATGGACTAATTTTAAATTGTATACAAAAAAGCATTTTATTATGAGTTCTTTATTGGAAAAAATAGAAGATATTCTTGACAAATTGAATGATCCGAGTCGAACACGTGAAGATAGTTCTACAAACTCTCCGAATATTGAATTTTTATATACATTTTCTGAAAGAATAATAGTAGATGTAAAAAAAGAAATTCATACATTTTGTGAATTTGTATCTTATAATACGAATGATTTGTGGAATGAATGTATTCAAGAATATATAGCCTTTAATAACCCGGGAGTAAAATTAATATCTTACGAATTCTTAATCAAAAAAATTAAAGATTATATCAGGACAGTAATTATAGAAAACTATTTTGATCTGGGATTTAAATATGATCCAATTACCGAAGAAACGTTCATACAAAAACCACAGGAATTTATTGAATCAGGTATTTAAAGTAAAAAAATATTAACTAAAATATTAAAATATAGACTTATACATTTTTTATGAATATAGAATTGGAATTTAAAGCAACAGATGAAGAACCTTCAACGCCAATACAAATACAAACTTATTAAATTATAAAAAAATTTTTAAGTACCTGAAGTAGATTGTGGGTACTTTAATTAAATAATATTCTCGGCTATAGTATTCTTCTCATTTAAGTATAATATTGTTTATATCTCTTGAAATATTGATCGAAAAAGTTATAATATACTATACTTTTTCACAGTTAAATTATTTAAAAATTAAGCATTTAATTAGTATAACGAATTAAATACCATTAATTGAAACATTTAATGTTATGTTGTTATGTGAAATTGAGAAGTCTATGTTGGTTCATGAGTTTTGTGTTTTTTATCTATTTATGACAGTCACTTCACATGTTTATCTGATTTTTGAGTGATTATGCTCAATAATAGAAGTTCACAAACCGCCTGGTTGCAGACTAGTTAAACATTTTCTGCAAATAGAAAATTGCACAAAAAAAATAATACTTCTGTTAAATTTGCTAATATTCACTTTACTTTAATTTTTTTGAATTTAAACTTAACTTTTGGAATGGAATCGTAAATTCTGTATCTTTTAAACATATATTAAATAAAAGCTTATGTTACAAATAGAGGACGTGAGACAGTACACAGACGACAAGTATAAATGATATCTGATAGTGATTATAATTACTACCATAAGAAACACTTCGATGCAAATCTGTAGATAGTGTTGAATTTTAAGAAATTCTGGAATTATTAAAAAACAACATAAACTTCTATTTCTTTTATTAAATCTAGGTCAGTAGTTCTTTGATTTATAAGTTCATTAAAGTAATTTTAATTAAGCATTTATTTTTATGTATTATGAATAAAGTGGTCTACAAGAAATTTTCAATTATTAGTGACAAAAATATAATTTTTCTAAACCAATTATTGCGTTGATTTAAATATGTAATTAGATATTTCTATCATCTTTAATTTTCGAAATTAATGCTAATTAATAAAAAACGAATATTTACATATAACAATAAAAGTAACTAAAAAAATCTAGATTAAAATAAAATTCAAAAACACATTAGCATAGCCAATACTAAGACAGGAATATTTCTGAAAAATAGTATAATACAAAATATACCAAGATATTGATAAAAATGAATATTATGAATTTTATTGAAATAATTTTTTTCGTTGTTAATACAAATTATAACAAATTTGAGTAATAATATCAACTTAAAAAACAGTGATTTTTACACGAAATAATATTTTTATCTTAATTGAGAGATATTTTACATACAATAGACAAATACTAAACCATTTGTTTTTCTTATATATAACATTAAATAAAGTTTAATTTAACATATGCTTAAAGCTCGGAAAATTTCCTGGACTTTTCAGTTCGGTGAGAGCTACAAAAAGTGCTAACAGACATAAAAAAAACCAATAATAGTAATATTATCCCCCGTTTCTCATCAAAGTATAAATTTTATCCCAATAAGTTATTTTCTATGCGTAATTGATTTCCATCATTAACGTAATTAATGTAATATCATTAATGTGATATTACAGTGATTCAATATTTAAAATTAGCGGTTTTTATTTTATATATTCCATCTTATAGCCTTTTATTATTTTTAACAACTAAAATCTACATATTTCATTGAATAAATTAAACCAGATACGAAAAGTATAAGAAACAGTAATGCTATTATAATACCACAAATATTATATAATTATATTAGTCTTATTATTTCTAAAAGTAGAACAGAATAAATACGTATCTTTTTACACTTCATCGAATTTTATTTTGTTCAAAAATTTCAACTACAAATATTATTCATTATTTTCAGAATGTTTTCATTAAAACTTATCAAGATTACTTTTTTATTATTTTATGTGTTTTTATATACAAAAGCATATAAGTCTACAAAAAAATCAATGAATCAATTAGATATGTTACTAAAATATCCGGGATGGAAAAATTTGAATGATGTAAGTTCTATACAATATCATAAAAAAACATATTATCTTGAAAGTCTGATTGAAACACCAACAGATCGAAATATAGGTGAGACAAAGATACGAGCCTTGGCTATATATCTTGGTTGCTCATACACAAAAGTTATAAATAATATTTTTTCAATTATTTTAAACTGGGAAGATATTTGTATAAACCAAAATAAAGAAGACAGTGACTTAATAAGTAGATGCATGTATACTAAAGAACTCATAAACAAAATAGCCATATTCTTTGTTCCAATAGCTACATTGATGAAAGGCGCAATGGATGCTTTAGATTTATTACATCATTTACCTTGGACTAATTTTAAAATATGCGACAAAAAGCCCTACATGATAAGTCCTGTATTGGATAGAATAGGAAATATTTTTGGCGAATTTCTACCATGTGATGATAGATCTACAAACTCTTTGACATTTGAAATTGTATGTAATTTTTGTAAAAGAATAATAGCACTCTTAGAACTTGAAACTGATACATATTGTGAATTTGTATCTTATGATACGAATTATTTATGGAATGAATGTGTTCATGAATATAGAGCCTTTAATAACCAGGGAGTAAAATTAATGTTTTTCGAATTCTTAACGAAAAAAGTTGAAACTTATACTAAGACAATAATTATGGAAAAGTATTTTCAACTGGGATTTAAATTTGATCCAATTACCGAAGAAACGTTTATACCAACACCAGAGGAACTAATTGAACTAGGTATTTAAAATAAAAAAATATTAATTAAAATATTAATTTATAGCCTTATACGTTTTTTATGAATCTAGAATTGGAATTTAAAGCAACAGATGAAGAACCTCCAACACCAGTACAAATAGAAATTCATTAAATATTGTAAAAAAATTAATTTTGTTCTACATTTATGCTTCATATTTCATGAAATTTGCAGTAATACTAAGTAAACCTTTAAACTATTACCAAAATCTAAACATTAATGGTAAATTACACACAATTATTTATTAGTTGTACACGCAGTAATATTTAATATTATATTGATATTAACAATTATAAAAATTTTAATCAAGTACCGTCAGTGAATCATGAATGCTTTAATTGCCAAATGTTTTCGGCTATTGTCTTCCGAAACGAAGACTATTGTCGAGAAATGTTATACTTATAGGAAACTAGGTATAAAAACTTGAATAACTTTTGAAATATTTATCCAAAAAGTTTTTATCAACATAACTTTTTGAAAATAATTATGAAAAAGTAAAAATGATATCTGACTGCGATTGAAATTACTGTGATACAAAAATCTTCAATATACCTATATTACATAATTTAGACCTTATTTTAAAATATGTTTGAAGATTGGAGTATTTCGGAACATTTTCTAAATTTTAGTTGATAAAGTTAATATTTGGTGCAAAGTTTGCTATTTTGGATATCCAAAAAAAATTATAAAATCAAAAAATTTATACTAAATGAAAGAAAAATATCTAAAGTTTAAATATTTTGATTCATCATTTTTATAAAGTTATGGCATTTTTAAAAAAAATAAGTTTAATAAAAGTCGAAATTTAGCAATTTTATTAATCAATATTGTTAAAATTAAATTAATCCGGTGAGAGCCACTATCCCAATGAGTCATATTCTATGCACAAATAACTGTATTATTTTATTCGTTTATTTTATTAAAATTCCCGATTTATATTATGTATTCTGTTTAGTAATATGACCACCTCCAAAAAAGTTTTCTGAATCTGAAGTTATTTTTATAATGTACTTTTCTATAGCATATAAAAGAGCTATTTAACTCAATATTACATTATACTATATTATATAATTAACTCACAATATATGATGCCCAGCGGTGTTATAGTCAAAGATGGAAGCGCTATTTTGGTGTTTAATTTTGAAGAGTATAATTAGAATAGTTAAAAGGATTCCTATAATGATCATGGTACATTTGTGGAAGTTATTGTAAAAATAATGCTAATAATGCAATTTTTAAACGGTATCATAGGTGTGTATATCTTATGTTATTAAACTTTTTCTCTGATAAATGTGAAATAAAAGAAAAACAAAAAGTGTCTTGAAAGTATTTGTGATTATGTCACTTAGTGTTTTTGATAAGAAGCAGCTTTTATTGAACAATAATATTGTGTCACTATCATATTAATGTATTAAGTATATTTAGTATAAATATATAAACCTGATANAAAGTGTCTTGAAAGTATTTGTGATTATGTCACTTAGTGTTTTTGATAAGAAGCAGCTTTTATTGAACAATAATATTGTGTCAATATCATCATTTAGGAAAGTGTATATTTATCAATATTTATGGTATATCTTAAATTAAAAGTTCTTCAATTTGTAAAGGAGAATGCTCATCCTATTTTCAATGGACAATTCTCAGATCAAAATATTTTACGTGCTCATTCTTAATTTTACATTCACTCAATAGTCAATTCAAGCTTTCAAGTAGTTTATCATAATAATATAATGTTTCAATCAAATATTATCGTTGCATTATCAAACATAAGAAAATTTTTATTATTATTGTTAAAATAAATCAGTGTTAGTTAAATCAGTATCAGTAATATTACTAATACCACGTAACCCTACCGACAACAAAACGATATTTAAATATCCCAATTTTATATCGTAGTATTATCAGAACACAGTTGTTTTGCACTAAGAATCTTAAAAAATTGTTTTGCCCTATCATTATAAATTTAATAAAATTTTAGTTTTAAAAACATAACTTTAGTATAGTTTACATAATTCTTTAGTGCCACGTGCGTAGGTTAGATTTAAACTGTCAAGCTGTACAGATTCCCGTCCTATCTAATTCAATAATTATATTACTAAGTTTTGAGAAATTTAAACAAAAAATATAAAATTATTTAAATTTAGATTAGAATAAAATAATTACAGATCATTCTAGGTAAAATTTTTGAATAGCAATAAAATATTTAATATTAGGGTATTATCAGTATAATGGTATTGGAAAGAATTAGATAATAATTTTTTTCTAGCATTCATTTTCGTAACAACCGGTTTCATTAAAATGTTATGTATCATATCATTTATAAAAACTCAGCAAAGGGGGGTCGCGGCACAGTGGTGACGTGGCATAGTTGGATCAAGTATTATGATATCTGACAGTGATTAAAATCACTATCAAAAAAAACGCTTCGATGCAAATCTTTAGATAGTGTTTAATTTTAAAAAATTGGTGGATTATACCAAACGCAACATGATCTGCTAGTTCGTTATTAATATCCTGATTCAGATAAAGTATGTCGAATGAAAAATGGATTATTAAAAAATATTATTTCTCATAAAAAAATTATGTTGATCCATACACTTTTCAATAAGTTATATCATTATAAAGTTAAAAATATAAAAAATAAAATCGAGAATTTTCACACAATAATAGCATTTGGTAACTATTTTCACCATGAAGTCAAAATAAAGTCCGAAATTTTTTTTTACCATTATAAAGTATATTACATTAGATTTAATTTAAGATATAAATAAAAGTGTCAGATTTTCCGGAACACTTTCAAATGTTAAGTTGGAAAAATTAATTTTTTTTTAAAAAGTTGTCATTTTAAATCCCCCCCTGTGGGCAGGTAAAAAGTCAGATTTATAGAAAAAATATACCAAATGATAGGTAAAGACATCAAACATCTATAAAAAAAATAATTATTAGCGATTTTTAAATTTGTAATTTTTTTGGAGGTTTCCCCCATTTACGGGGAACGAAGGCAATTTTTTCAATTTTTAAGGGTAATGTCTTCGACTAAATACGATTTGTGATCTTTTGACGTATCTTTGAAAGAAATTGGTTCGGTGAGAGCTGAGAAAAAGTGGTTACAGACACAAAAAAAAA